CCTCTCTCTGCCTTTAGCAAGAAGAACACCTCTTTGTTGCCCCTATTACATATGCGGACTACCCCACATGCGATAACTGCTCAAGAGAAACACTGAGAGACAGGCCAGAGAACGGGAAGTGGCAAGCAACAATAAGACATCTTAATTGGTGAGAGGCCCATATTCGTGTTTAAAGATAGCGAGAAAGTGGACAATATTCCTGAAGAGGCATTTTTTTTATAATAACGACCATAATATCTGACATTAAGGTGTCAAGGATCATGATTGACATGGGAAGATTAAGCGATATAATGTATGTCAAATTCTTTGAGAAGTTATACTTGAAAATGGATAGGTTCTCACCTTATATGGCACCTGTCTACAAGCAATCAATGTTTATGTAACTCATCCCTAGGGAAACATAGAGATAACAATAACCCATCAAATAAATGAAACATTACTACAAGACCCAATTAGGATAACCGTCTGGAAGAGGGAGGGTGAAAGAGCCAATTCTTCCAAACAACTTCTACTAGATATTAACATCACAAATTTCGATGAGTGCTTGGAAGAGGCCATGTTAAACAAAGAGTGTGGCCCAGGGGAAACCCCTCCTTGTTGAGGATAGAATAAAGTGTTGGGAAAGAATATGGAGTATCTAACGGTCTAGAGGGGGTGAATGAACCTCCCAATTAAAAAAATTTCATGGAAAAATAGCTTGAAAACTTTTATATTAGAGTTTTAAATAAAAAATGATTTTGCTTAGAGGAAGCCCATTTTTGCATAAGAGATTATGCTTATAGATTGGAATTGATATGCAATGACTTAAACAGTTCACAAGACAACCAAGATTGAAACACAAATTCAACCAAATATATAAACTAATAAGTTGTATTGAATAATTGACAAGATTACACAAGATGTGTGATTTTACAATACCAACACTATGTGGATTATTCTATCACAATTTTTAGCTTAATCTTCAACAAGACAAAATTAATGTTTCAACTCTAACAAAACATACACTTTACGAATAAATCACTACCAAAAGAAGTCCTAATTACATGCAATTCTAGAAGTCAATAAAGAATAACCCAACATGTGATGTATACTTAATTAAAATGATAATTTAAATCCTAGTCTTCGCTAAGTTTACGAATAAATTATAATGTTTCAACTATAGTCTTCGCTAAGTTAAATCCTCTCTCCAATGGTTGCTCAATGTTTGTTCTATGTGATTGACTACATTATGACAAAACAACATGGAGTGTACAAGATGTTTTTGTTAAGAAAGGACACGTGTGGGACATGATATTCCAGTAGGCGTGGCACATCAGGCTCCTACTGAAACTCAAGCATTGACGCATTTTTGTGATTTCTGAACGCGCTTTTGGATTTGTTTTTTATTGATATACTGCTATTTTTAGCTATCTAATTAGTTAGATTTGTTTGATAATTTAATAAGATCAAATTTAAATTTGAATTCAAATCAAATCTTTTACTGTAGCCGAGAAGAAGCTAAAGAAGGATAAAGGCAAGGATAAAAAGGTAGAAAATAAGTCTATTACTCTGAAGGCTTCTAGCTCAAGGTCCTCAACAAATGAGTAAAGTGATAGTGAAACAAGTCACGACGAGAATTCAAATGATCAAGAAATGAGGCTTTTTGGGAAAAGGTATTATAGATACATCAAAAGAAATAGCGTAAAGCACTTCGACAAAAACCTCTTAAAATTTATAAGACAATCAAACTCTTCAAAGGAAGATGATGACAAGAAAGGAAAATCAAGAGGTTCATGTTACAATTGTGGCAAAATTGGCCATTACAAGCCAGATTGTCCATTGTTTAACAAAGACAAGGAAAATGGTCAACATAAGAAATCCAGCAAGTCTAGAAGAGCTTATATTACTTGGGAAAGTGATAGTGATTCCTCAAGTGGTGAAAGCTCAAGTGAAATTGAAGTAAAGGCAAATTTTTGTCTCTTGGCCCATCAACGTCAAAAGAAGAAAAGAATGTAAGCCCATTCTAAATATGAACATGTTAATAAATTATCTTATTTCGAGTTACAATTAGATTTTGAAAATTTACATAGCGAAGCAATATATGCTTTTAAAAAGTTAGATTCATACAAAAGTATTTTTTTCATAATTAGAAGAAAGATTTTTAGAAATCGAAAAGAAAATGGAAGCTCTAAAGAAATCTATGGTAGATAGTCTAAAAGTTAAGAAAGAGGATGAAGAACCTTCATGGTTAGGTTGTGAAACTTATCAAACTTAGAAAAAAGAGTCTAAAACTTTTAAATCCAAATTGAACAAGGCATTACAACCAAATCTTACATTTGATATTGATCTCTCAAAGTTAAAAAAGTCTTTGAATAAACCTTATAAAAAGTATAGCTTTGTTAAAAAAGGATCCAAATAGAAAAAGTAAATCTCTTCATAATTTGACTTGTCTCTATTGTTGCAAGAAAGGTCACACTATTAAAAAAATACAAATTTAGGAGTTTTTTGGTTCCTAAAGGTGTTTTGCAATGGTTGACTAAATGCAACCATGCTTTGACTAACCCTCAAGGATCCAATGAAGATTAGGCACCTAACATTTCTTATTGATCTTGTAGGATAAATGTCTTGGCTCTATGAAGATAATATGGGTTCTCATTTATGAATGTTCAAGACGTATGATAGGTGACTTTTCCTTATTTCATTGACTTTGTGGCAATGAAGAAGGGAAATGTGACCTAGGAAGACAACAACAAGTGTTCTTTAATTTGTAAAAGACGTGTAGATTAATTTTAATGTTATATATCCAAGAAATGTCGGAAAAGGTATTTCATTTCATGATATAGGTATATCTTCAAAAGACATACTCAAGGAGACCGGATAAGGGATTGATCAACCTAAGATGGTGAAATCTGAGGAGGAGCAAAATAACAATCATGAAAAGGACAAGAATGAAAGTCCAACCAAAATGGATGTTCATTAAATCAATAAATTTCTTAGATACATTACAAGTCACGATATTGGATACTTTGACAAAGATAAAAGTGGTAAGAACATTAATGTCAAGATATCATGACACTTTTTGCATTTGTTTCAACTTTCGTTCGAGAGTTCCTTGTGAAATGCAAGTGCATCCTCCGTCATTCGTACGATGATGTAATATGTAACACCCTTTTAAACTCCAATAAATCTTCATAATTATTTTTAATAAATAAATCAAAGTATATCACTAACAAGGGTGTCACATCTTCTAATAAAATGTCATAACAACACATCCTGCTCCGTAACACGGGTTTTCAAAACATCAACAAGATATAATCAACATTTTTTTCTTCGAATCATGGCAGCGGAAATCATAGTTCAAAATACCTCATTATAGAACTTCATAAGATTAGTCATACTTCATATCTCATACTTATAATTCAAAACATCTCGAGTACCACGTAGGGTGACTCAACATCTTAAAACAAAACAAAGAACATAAGTTCCAATCATTCGATTCCAACCCTAATGTTATATATCAGAGCAAGACTCCCTTTATTCAACAACAACAAATAAACACACTCCAAAGCTATCTTCTAATGCTTCTACAGAATATTGTCGATCACCTACACGTTACCCACGTAGAGTAAACATTCAAACAGAAAGGGTAAGTAAATCATAATTATTATATATGACATAAGTGTTGTAACTGGTTTTTAAATCAGAGTCGCCACCATTAATTTTTATCCTAAAAGAAGGGATTATAAAGTAATAACCCTAAAGTTCAGAGATTTTATATTTTTGGACTCGGTTCTAGATGAAGGGAAGGTGTTAGGCACCCCTCATTTACCTTGTTCACAAGGATACTAGGTTTAGAAGCGTAATTTTTAGGAAAAAGGGGTTTTTTTCTTAATAAGGAAAAAAGGGTTTGCATTTTTGTTAGGGGAAAAAGGGTTTGAATTTTAGTTAGAGGGACTCGCCACGATTTTAATCTCATGCCTACGTGTCCTCTTAGGAGGAATCAAAGTCTCATTTCTTAGTTTGCGATTTGGTTGGTGTTTTTTAGAGGATTGCATAGAATTATTTTCAAATTTATCCTTGAACCTTTTCTGGATTGTAAAGTGAGTGATTGTAGACACAGTTCGCAGTTTAAATTTGAAATTAATTATCCTTAATCCTTTTTTGAAAATATCTTATAGTTTATTATGTTAGTAAAAAATGATTTGATGTTGGTTAGCTATATTAAGACGTAGAGAGGGAGAGTATGATATAGTCTCCTCATCACGTGGCCAAATATTATCCATGTGTCGCTCGCGGATGTGAATTTAGGGAGTTGCATGCATTTTAATTATTTGATTTTGAATAATAAATCGGTAGACGATGTGTCGACCAATTTAATTACTCAAAGATGTACATCCTATTATTTATAGAATATTTGAATTAATTATTAAAAAAAGTTTGATTTATATATTCAGTATTTATTTTTTAATATTGATTTTTAGATAAACAAAATTTTAACAAAGAAATTAGTCAATCAAGTAATCTAACCAAATAAACAAAAGGCTAATTAAATAACAAAGGGTGCACAAGATAAAAAATGGTGTGCTAAGTAAAAGTGTAGAAACTTTAAAGTCCAAAGTCCATATTAAAACTCTAAAGATTTAACCTTAATTCATGTCATAATTTAGTAATAGTAATAATTCAAATAATGTATAAAACAAATAAAAAAAATCAGTACATTATGGGGGGAGCGCCCCTTTTGTTACGTGATTTCCGTTAATCATTAATATGTATAAGAAAATAAAATGAGACATAGTAAAAAACTAAAATCTGACTAATTTAATCTATTTGATTAAAACCCAATAAGAATATGGCACTTGGCCTTTTAGATAAAAAACAAGTTAAAAAAAAACAACTTATAATTAAGAGAGAGAACCAAATATCAGGACTACTTTCTTCTTTTCCTCTGTACTGCTTCTTCTTCGGACAATTCTTTATAATTTTATTCGCTCTTTTTTCAAGCTTCTCACAACATACATATTCTACCTAAGAAACATGAAATTAAGATAAATAAAAACAACAACTAACATAGTGACGATGGCGAAAGATGCGGGGGACGGTTGGATTCGGTTTCCGACGAGGTAGTCGGTGAAGGCTGAAGGTGGAGCTTCGGCACAGATTAGATCTAGATAGAGGTGCGGTGGTGGTTCATGGAAGTAGTTGGAGATGCGAACGCCGATGGTTGAAGGCGACATCGTGGGTCCGCGCGGCTTCAAGGAGCATTGTTGGAGTAAGAGCGTCGGACTTCAGTGACGGAGATCGCCAGGTTGCCGGATGGTCTCGCGGTGTTTGCGCATGGTGAAAGTGACTGAAGGCTTCGTCGGTTTTAAATTGGAGATGGCGGAAATGGTTGTTATCCTCTCTTTTTTCTGCATAAACAAAAAGAATAACAATAAAAAAAATTTCAGATCCTTTTCTATTTGAATTTTTTTGTAATTTGTAAATGTTGGTTTTGGAGATCTGAGAGAAGATTTTTGTATGAAAACTATTTGACACTGATACGGTGGGAGAACTGACTTGGGTGTTTTGTATTTGTGGTCGTCAATGTTGCGGTTTAGTAAGAGTCACCACCGACTTTTCTTTTATCCAAAAGGAAATGTGAAAAAACACGGGAAATACCTTTAGAGATGTTTTTGAGTTTGGCGGGTAGATTATGAAAAAGGAAGATGTTAGAACCGTTTTCATCCATGGTTTTCCACGGGCTCTTAGTTTCTTCCTAGATCACTTGCTTTTATTTGAATGTGCGCTTGTGGTGTGAGTTTTGAAAGTATTTTTGAAAATGTCTTTATAATGGTTCTCGTTTTTATAAGAACGCGTACAAAGTGTTGTTTCAAAAATAGTTCAAAGATGTGTTTGTGAGATGTGTTTTTGAAAGTGATTTTGAAAAGTTGTATTCTTTGTAATGGTTCTCGTTTCTATAAGAACGCGTACAAAGTGTTTGTCTTTTGAAAATGTTTCAAAGTGAGAGTGCTGGTGTATGAAATGTTTTTTTGTTGCGAGCAAGCGAGTAATTGAGAGAGAACCTACTTACTCAAAAGATCTTAGATGTGCTTTTCCTCCTCCTTTAGATGTTGCTATCTTACCATTGATTTGGTAAGAAACCCCATCGTTGGATGTGAAGGGACAAACGTTGGGACGTTTTGTATAGTCATAGAAAGAAATGTTGCAAGGTATGTTAGCATTTTTCTTTTAGGGACTAAGATCATTTGTAAGGCAATTTTGAATAGCGTCATCGAGGGACTATGATCTTGTATTTCGATTAGTTTTGCTAAGACACCCCGCATGCATAACATGACCACTTTTAGGCAACAAATGGAGTTAACCTTAAGGGTGCTAGTGTGTAAGTGTGTTTGATTACATGCATTTTAATCTCGATTAGGGTGATCTATTTGTTTATTTTATCTTGTCATACACACCCTAATTACTAGAATTTATATTCGAAAGCGATAAATTGCAGAAATGTAAAGTCCTACGCTATTACAATATTTGGGGGATGGGGGTACATATTTACGAATGGGGATTGCAAATAAAATTAAATCCTAAATTATTATTACAACCATATCGAATGGATAAGAATGTACAAAAGATGTAAAATGGACTTATTTTATTTTAAGAAAATATTTTTAATCTTTTGTTTTAAGAAATAAAATAAAGCATGTAAAAAATAAAAAAAAATGTTTTTGGTGTCTTTTTGATTAATGGAAAAGAAAGTAATAGCAAAAATAGTGGGAAAAAGAAAAAATAGAATCAGCGTATTACTGACTAAAGGAGGTCAGAAGTTCTGACTCTGGCCTGCTGCAAAATAGATATCTTGTTAGTGAAAAAATGGGTGAAGTCATAAGTTCTGGGTGAAGATGTGAAAAACACAAGAAGGGGAGGTTGAATTGAAAAACTTGGATCAAATAAAAACAGCTTAATGACACAGTATTTTTATCCTGGTTCGTTTGATCTCAAACTACTTTAGTCCACCCGTCAAGGTGATTTCGCCTCTCTCCAACGAGGTCTTAATCCACTAATCTCAAACAATTACAACAGCTACTTTAACAACTGTTAAAGTCTTCTTGAGTACAACCATAAACCGGTTAATCTCAAGGAAATCTTTTACAAATAATTGAACAAGAATGTGTTGTTGTTTTCTAACAAAACAGTTTATCACAACTGTGATAATTACACAGGTTAAGCTTAGAATAGAATAAATTTGCTAGAGCTTGAATATGCGTGGTTTGGAATTCTCTGCAAATTGATGTGTGCGTACGTACGTGCTTCTTTGCAAGCAGACTTGTTTATATAGATAAAATAATGACGTTGTCCATAAAGCAAGTTTAATGATAATAACACACTTTCCTTTTGTAGAAGATCTTGTCTGAAGAAAGTTGTTGGCATTAATTCTGTCTTGAATGTATAGTAACGCTTCAGGGTCTTCTTTGCTTAACTGCTGATGACGCTTCAGAATATTGATGACTTGGTTTGATATGTCTTTGTTCAGAATCATAGTTTGTTGTAATTAAGCACAAGTTATGGTCACCAATCTTCAGTATAAAATATGATTACTTCAGCATGTAATAATTTTAGCTTATCTTCTGATGCTGATCCCATCAGAACTTCTGCATATACAAAACATATTTTTAAGGAGCATATTTGTTCTGTGTATATATACTTTGTATTTATTTATTCTTTGTATTTGTTATCATCAAAACTCTAACCAAGGGTTGTAGAATCAAACTATGTTCTAACAATCTCCCCCTTTTTAATGATGAAAAAAAACCAGATTTTTCAATGAAGAATAAAGAATAAAAAGTATAGAATTAAGAAGAAAAACTCCCCCTGAGTTGATTACTTCCCTTAAATTCTTTGAGTCCTTGAGCATCAGAACTTGACTACGTCTTTCATCAGAATTTTGTACCTGTTCAAGCTTTTCAGAAGAAAGAAGTTAAGTAGTTCAGAATGTTTGAGACTTGTCTCAGTAATCCGTTATTGAAAATATCTTATTCTTTCTCCCCCTTTTTGTCATTTATCAAAAAGAACACATAATCAGAGCTAAAAAGGATTTATATTAAAAAATAAGAAACAATGATAAGAAGTTTAGAACAGCAGCAATGTAGAACAAATATTACAGATAAATAGATTTTAAAAACAAAAGAAAATCTAAGAGGAAGGAGGAAGGTGCGTGAACAAAGCTTCCAACAAGCCCTTGATCTGGGTGTTGGTTTCCTCTTGTTTGCTTAACATGCTCTTGATTTCCTTGATTGTATCATCCTGTTTATCTAACCTTTCCTGAATAACAATATATGCTCTCTTCAATTCTTCCAGAGTTTGCCTTTCATAGGAGGGAGCTGGAGAATCTTCAGAAACTGGATGCTTCTCAGAGCATTCTGCAACATGATCATTTTGAACCAATTCCTCTGCAGACATCATCTCATCAGGAGCAGCAGTCAGAGTGAGGCCTTCTGACTCTGGTTGAACATTGTCTGATGGACGATGTTCTGACAAAGGAGCATTGTCCAGAGGGAGAATCTCTTCCTTGAGTAGTTGGCTTAGAACTTGGTCTTCGAATACCTTTAGCAGATTACTGAAATTCCGTTGAACTTGTCCGTAGCTCTGTTCTTGCATCTTATGTGTTTCAGAACTTATCCACTTTCTAAAACTTATCCAAAGATAATCTGAGGCAGCAGGATTGGTCATCTCAAGACTAGCTTGCTTCAGGGAGATTATCCATTTCTGCATTTCTGTTTCAAACATCAATAAACTAGTACCAACATCTGGTGTGGGTTCAGATGGTTTTGATTTTGGAATGGCAGTTTTGTGAGTTATGGCAGGAAGGCGTTCAAAAATAGTTAGATTAATGACAAGTTTAGAGTTGTCATATGAATTGCTCTTTGGTGAGGGAGTGGGAGAGTCTGGTATAATTATTGGACTAGTTGGGGAATTTGGTGGAGTTGATTCTAGTGAAGAGGGAATTTGGGGAATGTCCAGAATGGTGAGGGGCATACGGATGGCCAGAGGTTCAGTGATTCCTGGAATGGGAATTATATCTGAATCTGAAGTAGGTTCTTCATATTGGTTGGATGTAAGATGGTGAGGTTCTATTTCACAGGTCTCAGAAGGTTGGATCTCAGAAGTTTGAACTTCTGGTTGTGATTGTTCAGGTTGTGGAGATGGTGGATGAATATCTGGTTGAGGATATGGAGGTAGTGGTATTTCAAGTTGAGGAGAGAGGGGAATGTCTGGTTGTGGAGCTTCTGTGGAGGTTTCGGAGTTTGGATTTTCTGGTGTGGGAGCAGAAATATTTTGGTCAAAAGATTCAATGTCTAACAGAACTTTTGCAAGTTCTGGTTGAGTTGTTTTAGTATTTGGATTTATAGGAAGGGAGTGAGTTTCTCTAAGACTTAGAGTTTCTGAGGGGTCAAACCCTATGTCAAAATCATCAAACGTTTGTGGGGTAGGAATTTCTGATTGGGTAGGTAAGGGTCCAGATGTTGATAAAGATATTGATTCTAAAACATTAACAGAAGAAGGATTACCTTTCTTTTTAGCAGCTTTTGGAGTCTGCTGGGATGATCCTTCTGCTGCTACCTTTCTTTTCTTGTTCTTCTTCAACACAACTTCTGGAGCCGCCTGTTGCAAGTCCTGAATATTTAACCCTGGTGCAGTGCCATCTGCCTTGCATGCATCCAAATATCTGACGATAATCTCAGGCTTGGAATCAATTTCTGAGAACATAGGGAAATCATCCAGAGGGATTCTTCTGGAAGTAATGGTTGCAAAGGATGTAACATTTGGTTCCTTTTTTATGTTCTCAATAATTTTCATCTTTTTCAGATTCTTCGCATTCAAAGGCTTCCCAGCAGTTGCCTCTAGAGAGCTGATTTCTTGTGCTTCTATTAGATGCTCTATTAGTCTATTCTCTGTCAGAATATCTGATATGAGCCTTCCAAGGGGTATCCAGTCCCTTTTGGTACGCTCATCTTCTCTAGTCTCTTTAACATTGGTCCTCAGATGATTGAACAACAAGTGAGCCAGATTTACCTTAGTCTTCTTGGAGATAAAGTAGATCAGAAACTGCTGATCAATGTTTATGTAGTTAGAAGAGCTGGTTGGCTTCCTGTGGTTGATGCATCCCAAAATTATCTTAGCCCATATTCTGTGATGATCCTTCAGATCCCTTATCTTGCTGGAGGGAAGACCCATAGTGAAA